TTTTTTTTTTTTTTTTTTTTGTTTTCTTTTATAACGATAGTATTGAAGATCGTTTATAATTAGGATTTTTCAAGTTTGGAAAAACCGGAAGAACGGTGGGAGGAAAGAGATATGCAAGAATTTGTAGAAAGAAAGAGCGGATAGATGGTATATCGCGAGGGGATACATGTAGGCAACGACGACAACGATTTGTTGGTGTTTATTACATTGGGCCCAATGGCATTTCTTTGTTTTCTGTTCTGTATTCCAGAGTGCATGATGGACGACGGGAGCACCAGTGCCATCTTCTGGAAGTAGGAGGCACCGGTGGCGGCCGCTGAAGGTAACTTCGACTTCCAGGAGATAGCTAGCTTCCTTCCAGTATCTCTATTCTTCTTCTCCGCAAATCGGCAGAAGGAGAACCTCTCTAAGAGAAAAAAGAAAGAAAAGAAACGAATTTTCCTCTCTCATCACGCCATCACCGCTGATTCAGCCAGCACAGCTCGCCGCAAAGTTCATTTTGCCGCTCGCTAGTGTTTGACCCACGAATTCCTTCACGAGTCTCCCATCCTTTTTTGTATACCGTCCAATCCTCCTCGCCCGATGCACGACCGCCGTATATATATATATATCTGTCAAAATTGTCCGTGTATTTCCGCGGGAAAAATCGATCTCGAGCACTTTTTACTCTCTGGCCTCGATAGTAGAACAGTAGATAATAGAATTTCTTGGAAATTTCGAAATTTTCGACGGGTAATTAGGATCGATCGGTTACGCCTCCATATCACGATTCACCAATATTTCTCTCCAGACGAAATTTTCTTCGTCTCGTCGCGTCATTTTGATTTTTCTGAGAGAGAAAAAAAAAGAAAAAAAAGAGAAAAAAAAAAGATGGCCATTCGATTCCATTCTTTCAATTCGCGGCAACGATTATTCGATCGTACTCTCGAAGAGACCTCTCCTCCGTTCTCCCCAAATCCATTTCATCCGAAAAAAAAAACACGGATATACAACGTGATACGCTATAAGGTATATTATAAATGATGTTGTGCGTGCCCACATGCGTGAACCTTTATTTAGTAGCCGTAAACTTGTCGTTCGTGTTTTTTGCTCTAGTTATTGCGCACCGGCAATATCACACTGTTTAAAACCTCGTTTTTTAAAAACGGCGGTATCCGCGTAGACGCTCTTCGATAAATCCAACGAAACGGTTCGATAACCGTTCTTTTTGATTTCGGCTATGTTTCACGAATGACAAAATGTTTTCTTCTTTTTTTTTTTTTTTTTTTTTTNCACCGTATCTCATTATACAGTGACTACCTATTTTTTTAATTATTAATTTTTATTAATTAATTAAAAATTAATTATTAATTTTTCCGAAGACCGAATACATATATATATATCGTACAATTCAGGATCCTTAATTACAACCCAAATCCTCCTCCATTTATCCATTCGTATGGGCAACCACCTTAAGCGTATATATATATATATATATATATATGTGTATATATATATGTGTATATATATGTATATGTATATAGAAAATTATATATTTACATGTATACGTATATATATATGTATATATATATATATACACTGTTATACCGCTCTTTACAGCTATGACCATAAAATAGTGGCTCGCTCGTTGGATGTGTTGTCTCGTTCGTTGTCGATGTGTTTTTTATCACCTTTGTAAATATTTTCTGATTATGATGTCAGCTACGTTTCTCTTATTGTATTATTATTACTTAGATTATGATATTCTTATATATATATTTCATATATATATATATGAAAATTTTTTTGTCCCCTCTTCTCCCCCTCCCCTCCTCTCCACGTTCCCCTAATGAGAAAATTTTCACACCCTAATTTGATCCACGTCATCTTTTGTCACGTAGTCCCAGTCGATTTTTTGCACACCCACGATTTACTTATTTATTATCATTATTATACAGGGGTACACGTACACACAGGATACACAGTTCAGTGCAGATATTTCTAAGAAAGAATAAAAGAAAGAATAAAAGGGGGAAAAAAAATATTGTCATCGTCGGTCGGAATTTTTTCGCTGATAAATTTGGGTTCACAATTTCGAAGGAACTTTTTGTCTTCGAGGTATGATCGCTTGCGAAGAATTTGATTTTTTTTTTTTTTTTTTTACGAGACGCGAGAAAAATTATTAAAATTATAGAGGGAGAAAGAGCTTGGAACAAAGTATAAAATAATTACACGGGGAGAAATTACGCGTAACGGGTGGTTGTACCACGCGTTTTCTTTCTGTTAAACGCTTGCAATTATCGTGAAATTATCGCAAATAACGAATCGCGAGCCATGACCTGAAAATTGCTTATCGAGATTCGTGGCTCGATTAATAGCATGGGAATTTTCGATCGTTGTTACGTAGATTTAACCGTGATTAGAAAATAATAAACGATAAATCTTGCGAGCGCGGTTGTCACGAGGTGAAAAAAAAAAAAAAAAAAAAATGGTGACTCGTAACTCGAAGAGGAAAAAAAATGTTCCTTCCAGAAGATAGAATCTTTAACGAACAAATCGTTTCGATTTCTTTCGAACAGAAAAAAAAAAAAAAAAAAAAAAACGAGGAGGGGAAAAAAAAAAAAGAAAGGAGATAATCAGGCCCATAATGAAAACGAAATTTTCGAACAAATCTCTTGCGTACTCTCGTGGTTAGAAATAGCTGCAGATTGTTGAAAGATATTAATAATAACAGAAAAAAAAAAAAATCAATAAGTGGCGTGTGACCCTTTATAAGCGATATACTGACCTCAGCAGCATGCGGAACACACAAGGTGGTTTAATTAAATTAATTCGAAATTAAGAAGAAATTTATACATATCGTAGAAAAATACAATAAAATTCGCGAGTGATAAATTTTTCAAAAAAAAAAAAAAGAAACGAGAAACGTGAAAATTAATTTGCGAAAGCAGTGGAGAACCACCGGAAGTTCCGCTCGTAGTTGAGTCGCTTGTACGCCCTATCTACGTTTTTTACGCGAATCCCTGGTTTTTTCTTCCATCTGTTTCTTCGGCTTGTGGTGTAGGACGTAGGATTTGGAATTGATTGAATTAATTTTTCATTATTGTCGTTATTTTCTTTTTTTCTTTCTTTCTTTCTTTCTTTTCTTTTTTCTACCTTTATATATATATATTAATTCCCCCGTTGAAATACATTTATTACGTCTCTGTTCACACGTTTGTACGTCGTGTTACATATATATATATATATATATACTATTTTTACCAATGTCAGTATTATATACGAACGATATATATATATATTTTATTATATTTGTCATTCTATATATATATCCGTTAAATATTATCCGTATAGTGGAACGCATATGTGTATACATATACATTCGTGGAATTCCCGTAGATATGACATGAATGTGAAAGAAAAAAAAAAAAAAAGAAAAAAACAAAAAAAAACGTTTGAAAAATGTAACGTCTGGAAAAAATGGCCGCCGTAATATAACTTGGCCACTACGTGTAAATTCTTTTCAATCGGGCATAGATCGTGTATGTATGTATATATATATATATATATCGATATATATACATATAGAAAAAAAATATATATACATAGATGTGCATATATGGACTCATATATATATGTGTATCTATATAACCCCTTAACTCCTTCCCCCTTAGGATGGTGGATGCTGGTGTAACCGTGTAACTTTGTCGTTTTCGGTGTTTAGCCGCAAAATCTCTTTTTAATGCCTAAAATGCGCTATAAGCGAAATCGTATCGATCGTGATTCACGTATTAACGGATTCCTTTTTCTTTTTTTTTCTCTGTTCCCTCTATTATCGACACGCGGCCGACCCGCAGACAGAAAGCTGTTCGTGGGAATGCTCAGCAAGCAACAAACAGAAGACGATGTCAGACAGTTGTTCACTGCCTTTGGCACAATAGAGGAGTGTACCATCCTCCGAGGACCTGACGGCAGTAGCAGAGGTGAGTGAAACAAAGATATGATATAATTTATTACACCTTTTTGAATTTTTTAACAACTCTCCCAGAGAGACCTCGCTCGGGAGCAACGTTACTCCAACGTTCTCTTTCTTTCTTTCTTTCTTTCTTTCTTTTTTTTTTCAAATTCTTTCCACAATTTTTTAATATAAATTTTTTAAACGCTGCGAGTTATTTAGTCGGAGGAAGGAATGGGGTTTGCGGTTGAATTTTATACGCTTTGATCCTTTCTTCTGATATTATCTTCATTCTTTGTTTATAATTTAATCAACGCGTAAATAAAAGTCGAGTATATTCGAATTTTATAATTTTTGTTTTGTGATTGTACAAAGAAAAAAAAGAAGAAGAATTTTGTTATACGAGGCGACAAAATATTAATAATATTTAAGAAAGGAGAGGCAAGATTTTTGAAATTGAAATGAATTTGCTCGGAGAGAAGGTATAGAATCGAGATAAAAGATCGTAGTTCGTAGCAAAAATTCGTGGTCGTGTGGCAATTTACGTCGCGAAAGAGAGCGATTGGCTCGAAGGGAGGGGAGGAGGCGAGGGGTGTCCTCGCTCCTGCGATGCAATTCTGACATCGATGCGGACGAATAAATCCTACGACTGATAAAAAGGACGGTATTCGAAGATTTGCTGCGCCCGCTGTGTTTATACCTGTTCCAGTTGCGTGGAAGAAGTAGCGGGGGTTCACGGGTCGGTAAAGATTGCCTCTGGAATGATGAACTGCAAAGGAAAAGAGGGAGAGGGAGAGAGAGAGAGACCGGAGGAAGCTCAGACGGAGGCAGGAAAGGCAATAATTTCCGCTGGACGAGCCAGTGAAATTTAAATATTTTCGTATAAAAATGAATACCACGAGTAATGGGATCGTCGATCGTCGAGTTTCTGAAAGATTTAACCGAAAAGGGAGGGAGGATCGTAATCGACGCAAGACGATTAAAGACGCGAGTTTTCCTTGGACGAACTAGAAAAAAGAAAAAGAAAAAAGCAGGTGCGAAATGTAATTAAACTCCAACCTCCTGAAAGTAAATCTCACTTTCAACGCGAGTTAATAAGATTTCGATTCTCAATGGATGATGTAACGCAGCGTCGTCTTTGGCGAAGACGGGATTCTGTTCGTCTAAAAGGAGGTAAAGGCAACAGCGCATCTCTTCGATACTCCTTTGCTCTCGAATCTCGTCTCCTCTCCAACCCCATCTTCCATCTCTGTCCGCTATTTCTCGTTCTACATTTCTCCCCTTTGTCGAAAAATGCTTTTCATCCTCTTTTAATTAAAATCACGCGAAAACGCCGTGGACTATTCGATTGATCGGTAGCCTGGAACCTGTTTCTTGGAACGCACACCAGAGGGCCGGCTACCAATTTCAATTCGTCCACGAATTATCCAATGGAAAACAACCTCGAAGTGGAGGTTCCGTTGAAGTAAAATTTCACTAGTTCATGAAACGATCGCCCTTCTACTCCATTCCAGTAATTAAACAAGCGTTGGAGAAATTTTGGAAGAATGATCTGTTAACGAAAGCGTCATTTTTCGATTCTAGAAGAAAGAAGAGGGGGGGTAAAGTTTGATAAATTCCAATACGTCACGGGATAAACTTGCGTTAATAAATTTAATTGGAACGATGGTTAAACGGCCGTAGACAAGTTTCGATGGACTGGATACGGTTTCTATCGAAAGGCACCGATCGCTTATTCCGTGCAACTCTACCGTCTACATCCCTCGTCCTGGTTCCATCCTGACGGAAACTTTCCGAACACGCTTCATCACCGGTCGCTTGGGCTCGCTCGAGTTTCATAACTAGCTAATCCGTGACGTAATAGAGAGATCAGGAAGATCTCTCCTCCACGACTTCATCTGCGTATCGCTTTAGGTCTACCGCACCAGCCAATAGAGTTACGCGTATATAACGTATAGTGCTTTAATTATAAATAAGCCTCGCTTCGATTACAATCTTCCTCTGAATTTCGCTTAAATTCATACCCTTAAACTCTTCTATATATATATATATATATATATATATATATATATATATATTTTGTTCACCACTAATTGAAATCCACGCCATTTTTTGATGTCTGATTCACTCAACGATCTATATTTTTTTTTTTTCTGAAAATACTGCCTTATTTTCGAAGAGATTTGAGCGAGGGATTCGAGTGAGCAAGATTTATTAAAATCATGTTTAGAGTTACAACGATTAAAAATTTTTCGAATTTTAGTAGAATTTCCAAGGTGTGTTGCGATAACTCAGTTTGATATCTCGAGAATCTTCGAAGCAACAGCGATTTAAAGCCTTTCTATTCTTTTCAATAGGATCTAATCGAGTTTTGAGAAGAATTACATACGTTTTTCTCTTATATCTCGATATATAAAAAAAGAAGAGGAAAAGGTTAAATATCGATAACCTAGGATAGGAAAAATGTAAAAATTAGGTATTACAAGCGCTTAAAAACGACGAGTATTCTCAGGCTAGGGATTTTAGTTAGACAACATCCCAGGGAGAATTACAGTCTCGTTGAAAGTTATTGGCAGTCCTCTCATTGTTTTCAAATAACTTCCCTTATCGGATGATACCTACCTAGATAGATAGGTAGTTGGAAAGGTAGCGAAAGACTTCTCGGTAACGAGGAGTTTAAGAAGGGAATTCGGTTCGACGACTTTATGGAAAGGCAGGAGACGAACACGGTTGTCTTCGTCATCGTTCAGACGCTCCGCATTCCACCACCAATGCCTTAGTAACGACAGACTCTTCGTCCAATTATTTTTCCCTCGCTTCGAAACATTTCAACACCACTTCACCCAACGAACTCGTTCTATTTTCTCGTTTCCGTGCCAACCTTTCCTCGCCTCCTCCCTCCCTCCCTCCTTTCAATTCCTCCTCCTTCTCAACCTCGACGTTTTTCGACGTGCACAGGAGGCCCCCCTCGCCGGACCAACCCCTTAACACGGGACGAGCTCGCATTATTTCAATTGTGCGAGCAGCAATAATTCACCCCGCTAAGAAGATTATAAAATGTTTATGAATAATGGAACGAAATACTGTTCGAGGCGGCCGGGGTGCTTCCAAGGGTGCTTCTTCTATATATATATATATATATATATAAAACAAGCGTGGGTGGGTACTAACCAACACTAAAGCCAATAATGCTACCTAGCCACCTTCGAAATAGGAGGTGAACTCGCTCTCCACCTTCTATATCCGTGTATCCGCTTATTCCACGCCACGCTTGTATTGTAAACGTTAAACGAATATTCGCGCAGAGGAACAATTCCATGTATTAAGTTGTAATAACATTGTTGTTGCCCCCCTCCCTCTCGTCGCAGGGAACCTCGCGCAAAGTCTCCCCCGCTTATTCATACTTGGCCTCTCGACCGTCCACAGCTATTATATCACTCTTAAGTAGCTGTCGTCGTCTGCGAGTAGAGGGATTAAACCCTCTAAAGTCGCCGTTTCCAATCGCGGTTTCGTTCGATTTCTTCGTGAGTCGTGAATTTGATTCGAGAATGAGAGAGAATTTGTCGTAAAATTTGAATATCGTAAAATTTGATCGAGATGCATTATATCTTACCAGAAGAATTTCGTTCTCTGGATGAATTTAATTATTTTATTTATTATTTATTATTTTATTATTTATTATTTTTTTATTTATTATTTTATTATTATTAATTATTTAATAAATATTTTGCTAGAAATGAAAGAATCAGAAGAACGATGACAATCGCGAATGGAAAAGGGAAAAGGAAAGAAAAATTATTACAACGAGAATCGAAACTAATTTTCGGGGGATCCGTGTTCAATTTTAACCGAGATCTCTGTTGAATCTCGGATTCGACGTTCCAACGGTCGGATAGATTTACGCGATCTTTTTCCTTTTTTTTTTTTTTTTGGTAATTTGTTTTACGAAACGTCGAAATCAACGCGATGACGCGCATACATCTTCGCTTGAAATTAACGCGCACGATCGATGCGCTCGCAGGGGCGGTATTTCTTATTTTTACGGCCACGCATCGAGCGAAATGAGAATGAGTTTCTCCTTTTTTTCTCTTTTTTTTTTTTTTTTTTTTTTTTATCGAGCCAGCAATCGTTTCCGATAACGCTCGTCCGAGCCTCGCGAGCGTTTGATCATACGTGACGTCAACGGATTAGAATGGTCCCGTTAACGACATTACTGACAGGAAATATGACGAATCAATAATTTCCTTCGATCTAGCATTTTATGAGGGGGTATTAAACGGGCGATAGTTATCGATGATTAATCGTCCCGCTGTCACCTACACGGGCCCGTTTCGTTCAATGTATCGCGCCTTGACACGCATAACGGATAGAATTTTTCTTTCGAAAATATTCGCGAAGAAAGAACGAAAAGTATCGTATCGTTTGTTTACGAAAGTGTTTCTCTCGAATTTTCGTTCTTCGTTCTTTCCTCGACGAAACATCGCACGAACTTATTAAAACGTTTGGAAACTTGTAATAAAATACTTTTTTGTTAAAACGAAAAAAAGATGTCGGAATGTTCTTTTCTTTGGATAAAATGTAGCATGTTGAATTTCAACATGCGATGAAATAATTTCTGGGAAGAAACTTTTTTGACGAAGATAAAAATTTTTTGCGTGAATATTGTTATATTGCTCTTTTATTTAAAACGGAAAATGGAATATTCTTTTAAAATAAAAATATACCGGTTCGGGGTAATAATTTTTAAACATCGTATATATTTCGTTATATACGAGGAGCGATAAAAGGATACGAGATATCTATTTCTTAGAAAATGTTATTTTACCAATAGTCGCCTTTCGAAATGATTACCCTCGGCAATTTTTATATCAACATTTTTCCCTTCCCCAGGAACATCTTTTCATAAACACTTTTGAAAATCGATCTTAGATCAGATTTCACATTTTCCCCCATTTTCAGCATTGGCCTTTGAAATAAAGCTTTTTACGAAAGAACAAAATGCGTGGGGATAAAATGTAAATGTATTTT